AAATAAATCAGACTGTTAAGTACACAGTATATGTGGAGTAAATTGTAGTTCACATCCGGGTAAAGATACCACAGAGCTGTCTTCAGGCTTCGTTTTCAGGACTTGTGATTAGAAGTATTTCAGAAGAAGCTCATAAAAGATTCCCAAAGCACAGCTAGGATTGTTGGGACTACAGAGGGTGTCATTATGCACAAAATCTGTGCTCTTAGCTGCATCATTAGCTAGCTGTGAAGTACACACTGTTGCACAAATGAATACGAGAACAATTGAGGCAGCGTGGAAAAACAATTAAATATGTGGTTTTGAGGTGTTTGACAAAATGCAGTTACAGCCAAATTAACTTCGGCAAGACATTAACTTTCAGAGAGACATATGGTATCTGTGCTGATATGTGCAGTGACATTAAAAGCCCCTTTAAACAGTGTGCTGGCAGTGCTGAGGGGGATTTGATAGACCTGCAGTGTGTGTTGTGGGGCTCTGGCAGGAGACCAACTGGCAACATGGGAACAGCTCTAATGTTAGACTGGGATCAGGTAGCACTCCGGACACTGTGATGAATGGTCATTTCCACTGTACAGCTGGACACTCTCACCACCAGATGTCTGACTCTTACAATTAATTCAGGAGTTAAGTGTAGTGCATCCCGAGCGAGAGGACAGGAGGCAGGTGATGCTGATTTCTGCTGGGCAGTTTGATGAAAGCACAATGTTCACAGGCTTGACATTCAAACTTTGAAAGCAAAATGAGAACTCGGCTTGCTCTCCTTCTGAAGCAGGGGTGTCAGACATAAGGCCCGGGGGCCAGAATTGGCCCATTAAAGACTCCAATCTGGCCCACTGGACAGCTTTACAAAATGTGGAAGAGGGCATACATTTGTTTTTACTTTTAATAGTATTTTTTTTGTTTTTACACGTTTTGTAGCTTTTCGTGCTACTAAAGACCTCTCTCACGGCCATGCATACTACACCAAAATAAATAAGTAATAGATGACAATTAAATGACAGAAAAGTTTTACTGTCATTACTTTAGTGTCTACTATAGAAATTTCAGTTTTAAAAACAACAATAATCAACAAAAACTGTTTTATAAATATGGGACAATCTGGGTTGTGAGCTACCAGAACCCTCTGTAATTTTACACATTAATCATGTAGAAAAATACTCAGATGTGCCATTTAAATTGTACTACTTTGTCTTATATTAAGCTATCTCAGGGATTAAATGTGCAGTTAAACATGTTTTACATTGTCAGAAAATGCATTTTCACTGGTCTGGCCCACTTAACATCAAGGTTGGCTGTATGTGGCCCTCAATGTTAAATGATTTTGGCATCCCTACTCAAAAGCCCCAAAATTGTCATTTGTGCAAATTGTCCTTCTGGTGCTTTTATATGTTAATAACTTACTGCTGATGGAATGAAGTTTCAGGTTGTATATGCAAACCTTTAAATTTTCCAATTTTTTTTCCACCAAATGACCACAAACGCTTTCTTTTCCTTGAGCCTGCCATTGCCTCTGTAGGTGTTCATTGTTATCTGACCTCTTTCTCTTTCCCTCCTTTTTAGCTACCTGGAGGATGCGGTAATGAATCTGGACCACAGCGACCCCCTGACCAGAGACCACATGTCGTCCGTGCTGGCCCAGGTCAGACCAAAGCTCTTTGCCTTCCTGCAGCAGGACCCCCACAGCCCGCTCAGCAAGAGGGCGCGGCGCCTGATGATGATGCTACAGGGACTCGTCAACCACTAGTTGTCGGTTTAAAGGCTGCTGCCAAAGAGTGGTTTTCCTCTTGATACCGATCATATGTCCACCGTTTTTTTGTTGTTGTTTCCCCCCCCTGGTAGTGTTTCAGAGGAGAAAGTACCAAGGACAGCTTCTCCAGTTTCTTGGATCCTGATCAGGATGCGTCTCTCCTTGTTTCATTTCTCCTCCTTCCCCCTTTTCTGCACCAGTGAAGTGTCAAGTCAAGAAATGGACAGTTTTTAGTTTCTCAGTTTTTTGGTTCTTTTTTCTTTTTGTTGTTTTCTTCAAGACAATAATGGTCTGGGGTGAAAGCTTACTGTTGATTTATGTTCAGAGACTCTTAAGTTCACTGTAGCTACATCCAGACCTTTGTTACAGCTGCTTTATTGACCCAAGAGACCTGGTGGTCGTCTCTTCCATCAAGACTGTCTCAGCCATGACAGCAAGAGAGCGCTGAGATTCTTTCATCCCCCTTAACAACAACAACTGAAAAATCAAGAATGAGAAAAAAACATACAAACAACCTGACACAGTTTGATTTTACATCATCCAGACGTGCATAAGACTTGAAGAATGTCCAGCCGAGTGGTCCATGTGAGGCCAGACGGGGCTGTTCCTTTTGTTGTGCTGTTTCCTCTAAGCTACCTGCCAGGCATGTTTTGGGATGCTGAACAAGTTTTGATGCAGGGGGCTACTTCTGAGCAACAGAAAGAAAACATGCTTTGCCTCAAAATGTCGCCTTCTATTTTGGCCTTAAGAGCAAACAGCAGGCTTGTACACATTGTTACTTTCTTCCACACAGACCAGCATCCTTCTGCTAAAGCCTGGAATTTGGTAGTCGTAGGATTATCCTCCCTTAGTTCAGTTTTTCTTTGCTTTTTCTTTCTTTTCTTTTTTTCTTTTTGAAGCTAATCCTGGCAACCAAAAGAATATGTACCACCCAAAGCCAATTTTCTTTTTCTTCGTTGGTGGCATATTTCCTATGAGCTGTTTCTTAATAGGTCTCCAACCTATTAAGAAATAGGTCTCCTATTTGTTTGGCCCTTGCCAGACTAGATCTTTGAAGAGAATCAACACTATAAACCTTTTTGATAGACAATAATGCAATTTACTCATGACTTTTTCATCTGCTTTGGTTTTAGAAATCACTCTAAAGAGGATTTTCTGAAGGATACATTGAGTGTAAGAAATGTTTGCAGAGGTCTTCCAGGCTGTAAAGAATTCCCCTTCAAAACCTGAAATGTTTGGAGCTCAATATTGAAGCCGGCAGCCGTCCACATGTACAGCTCTGTCCACAGACTTCTCCCCATGTTTTTTTTCTTCCCTTTTTTATATAAACATTTAGTATTTGTAAGCCATGTACCGGTATACTTGCGTTAAAACTTGTCAAAGTAGCTTAATAATTGGAAAAAAAAGGAACCTTGGTAAACATTAAATGTTACAGATCCTGTTGTTTTACCTGGCAATTGCAAATATTGCTTGTAAACTCAATGTGCAGTGACTTCTCTTAGGCTCTAGGAGGCAGCACTTGGACATCCATCCTGCTTGAAATTTAGGCTTTGAATCCAGAAGTCATTCCTGCTCGTTCAGTATCAATGAAAAGCCCGCCTTTAGATTGTAAGCGCACCATTTGTTCACATTTACACTGAGTTCAAAGTGTATAATATTTTGTGTAGATCCCATTCACACACCTCATTGTTTCATGACTGGGTGGCTGCACTGAATTGCTGATTGTAAAATAAAAGTTCAGTTCATTTCAAGTGTTTGTTCAGAATCTGTTGGGTTTGACTAGCAAAGTGCCTTACTGTAATTTACCTGTTTTGGATGATAACTTGCGCGCGCGCGCACACACACACACACACACGCACACACACACACACACACACACACACACACACACACACACACACACACACACACACACACACCCCTGATCCATCTAAGTTTTACAATCATTTATGTCACTGAAATATGTGGGAAGGCTCAGGCACCACAGCGGAGGAGAAGCTGTATGTTTTCTTTGCAAACATTTGTCCGGAGGCAGGTGATCAGTACGGACATTTGAACTCTCATTTCAGTGTTTGAAGAAGAAAGAATTTTGACTACTTAGCAGTTCACTGGGAGCTCTGCATGAGAAACAGAACAGAAGTTCATGTGGATTTTTTTTTTTTCTCTTTCCATTGTGTTCATATCCCTCTGCTTGGTTAATTATGTTGTATCTTTTACAGTTTTGTTTTACCCCAAACATTTTGGAATAAAAAAAACAAAACGTGTTCAAATTCAGGTGTCTTGGTGTGTCTGTGGGAAGGTCAGGCTACTTCCTATAGCAGATATATAGTGATGGACCTCCAACAAAAGTTAGCAGCAACCATTAAATTACTGTTGAGGGATTTTAAATGAGAATGTTTCAGTTTTTTGTCACTTTAATGTGAAAGTTTAGTAGGAAAAAAAAAAAGAACCTGGGATAAAAGACTTCATGGGTTTTGGCTCATAAACCTGTACAAAAACATGTGACCGTTTTCCATGAGTTTTTGCTGTACCGCTAGAACAGGGGTGGGCAACTCCAGGCCTCGAGGGACGGTGTCCTGCAGGTTTTAGATGTGTCCTTGATCCAACACAGCTGATTCAGTAGTTCTCCAGAGGCCTGGCAATGAACTAATCATTTGATTCAGGTGTGTTGACCCAGGGTGAGATCTAAAACCTGCAGGACACCGGCCCTCGAGGCCTGGAGTTGCCCACCTCTGCACTAGAACAAACATCCTTCCCTTACTAGATTGTTCTGTTAAATCACGAGCCTCATGAAGACAAAATTGTGCATTACTTTACAAAGTAAAGAGTTGGAAATCATTAATCATCTCACAGTTCCTCAGCTTCTGAGGATACAACCCCCCTTTGGCTGGGAACCAACCTACAGCTGTCTAATAATAATAATATATCACATCGATTGCTGGGACGTTTTTCAGATTACTGATCACTGGCTTTAATATTGCAGTGACACTTCTTTTTTCTTTCAATTTAAAGAACTTTTAAGCAGATAATCTGTCTAAAGAAACACACCAAACCAGGAATTTAAACTTTCTTTCCCTCCTTCACTAATCTTGGCCCTTCACATTTGTCTCCTGGCCTCCTAGAGAGCTCCAGCCCCCTATGTTGGAAACCACTGAAGTAAAGTGTATAGAAAGAAGTTGGTAGTGGTTCCTTGGTCATTTTAAACGCCTTGTGCTGATAATTCAGAGCATCCTTGCACCTCATCGGGGACTCTGCTGTAGACCTTCCTCCTCCTCCCCCTCTTTTACACGGACGCGCCCTCCCCTTCAGCGCAGCGGATGAGCGCGCCGTGGATGCTCGCTGGAGTACAGAGCTGCAACGAGGACGGGAGGAGAACACTTTGACCGGCAGCGGGGGAGCGACATCGGGACTCTTCTTTTCTTTGAAAAACTAAAAGATAAAACAAAGGAAAACTTTGGAATTTCCGGTGCAAACTTGAAACTTGTGAGGTCGGAGGACGAACTGTGGGGTCAGCATGACATCTCTGATGAACTCTGCGTGCTTGCTCTTCTTGCCTGTTGCTCTGCTTCTGAGTGAGTACTGAAATTTAAGTGACTATGTCGCAACTTGTGTGCGCGAACAGTGTAAAAACTTGAGCATTGCATTTGGGAGAATTTTGAGTAATTCGAGAGGGGATTCGAGACTCTGTGCGTAACAGGACGGCACACGTCCTGACTTTTTAGAGCTTTAGATTAATGATCTTAGGTGATGTGGATGTATGTAGATGTTAAGCTGTTAGAGTTCTCTGTATGCCTCGTGTCTGATCTTAAATGAGGGGGTCCCGTAGCCTTAACTCGCTCATCTCGAGCATCCAGCAGAGCATGTGCTGCAGCTGCGGGAGCGATCTGCTCAGAGAGAGCTCGCAGCCGAAAGCTTGAATTAGTGCTGCTTAGTGAGAGTATTTTTCCCACAGCTGGATAAGGGTTCGTTACGCAAACTCACATCGTGCAATGAGTGAGGTCTGGGTGCATCTCTCCATTTCTTTCCACCCATTTAGTCCCCTTAGCTCAATCGGGTTACTTGTAAAGTAATGCAACGGTAGATATTTAAGATAAATAATAGTTCCCATGTTGTAAAGTGAGACATGTGCAAAGACTTTTAAGTACATTAATTGGGAAAATATTAATTCAAAGCGGCTATACTAGAATTTGTTAAGGAAATTGAAAAGATTGGTAAAACAGAATTGTCCTTGATGCAACATATGCTATCTTTTATTCAGCATTACTTGTCATGTATATTTAATAAATTACAATCCACAGTTTGTAAAAAGACATATTACAGCTGTTTTCAAACCCTGATTGGGAAAATAGGTGGATTATCCCTTTAAAGGGGGGCAAAAGTGATGTCTTTGAATTAAAGCTCTAAAATGTTTTAATGGACTACAGAAGGTCAGCTTCATCAGCGATTTTTAAAGCTCTTTTATAAATGTCTGGCTTGGACTAAATATAAATGCTGCTTCTCTTTTTCCTCTTTCAGAAAAATAATTAATAGTTAGATTTTTGTTGTGAGAGCAAAATTTCATTCACCTATTCTGAATACACGTTCTGTATATGTGTTTTGTTGTGTGGACCACAGAACTGAGTCAGTCCGCTTCCTCTTTTCAGTCCAACAATAAAACGTTTTTAGGAGCTATAATTCAGACACTGTTGATCTAAATATAGCTCTCGATGTGCACACACCTTCTCTTTTTGCAAACTTATGATCATCGTCATCATCTTTATCAGCCTTGATCATCTCACGCTGCTGCTGATGTCAGAGAAAAATAAAGACCAGGAGGCGGATGGGATGAGGTTCCCGTGGGAGTGTAACACAGTGGGGTAAAAGGGACAAAAAAAGTCCCACCGATGGGGATAAATGATAAATGAATCCCATCTGTCCCCTTACTCTGCTCAGTGGAGTCTCTGGAGACTCCATTCAGCCCTGCATACTAGCTTACCTGACCAGGAATTACTTCTATGTTGCTGCTGCTGCTGTCTGTCAAACTGCCTCCGCAGTCACTCAGTGTGTGTCACAGCTCATTCATGTTACTACAAGGGGACAGAATCAGCTCATTATATATTTATATGGTAGGATTTTTTTTTTATACTTGCAATTGCATTATCTATGAGCAGAGCTTCCAGGCCCGGCACCTTTGACTCACACTGTCTTACACATGCAACCAATTATGTTGCAAACTATTTTTGAAATATGTTTTTGCATGAACATTACACATATTGTAGCAACCTAACAATCTACAGGGTTTTATCTAACCTGCATGGTATTTTTAGTTTGTTGTGCACCTTTACACAGCCCACGGTGCTGTGTCATCCACCGGTGTAGAAAGTCTTCTCAGTGTCTCCAGGAAGCCTCTGCCGGGAGAGTTTCACAACATTTATACTAATATTTTTCACACGAAATACGGCAAGCTTTGATAGCCAAATGTAGACACAAAAAGGCTTTGACTGGCAGCAACACTGGATTGCAGTGTACTTCAAGCACTGGCACTTTTCTATGTCTGGATCAAGAGATTCTGACGTGTATCTAGAAGCTATGTGATGATAACTGAAATATCTGAAAGCTGTGGATACAAAATAGTACAGAAGTTTCTGAAACAAATACCTGAAGTTGTACAAAAGCTTTTATTATCTGCATTAACTACTGCAATCACATGCCAAAATGTGTGCTGAATTATTTTTTTAAGCCTTGGTCACTGCTTGTGTCCATGTGTTTTCAGTTTAGAGTATCCTCACTCAAATCATGATCTCACTAAGAAATGGAAAAACAGTGTTTAGTTCCGTCCCATCTGCTTTAATGACAAATAAAGTGCATAGCAGCTCCATAATATTGCAACAAGTGTGCCCAAACAGCTCGACAAGAGGCAAAAATTACTGTTTTTCTTAATTACATTCAGCCATATGTAGGCAACAAGATATTTAGTTGCTTTGTAGCTACAGGAAACAGCAAAACATCTTTACAACTGTAGAGACAGCCTAAGCAGGGTACTGGCTCATAACAAGGTGCTGATAAGATGCTATAATGCCAGTCAGAAAAAAGTGCAGTGATGTAATACCTGATTTAGATCATTGTAATACATAAGAGAAGAAAAAATGTGAGTATGAAGCCACGTTTTTAAAGATATGGACGTATAACAACGATCATTTCATTACACTTCAGTTTTTCTGCTAGGAAACACTGAGTCACAGTAGCATGAGCATGAACGCAATGTTCATGCTCATGCTACTGTGACATGTACAAATCAACTAAACACTGTTACAACTCCTAATGCAAATGGACTTTCATAGACTGTATATTGAAGATGTCTGTAGACAATGCATTCTGTTTAATGCCCAGCAGGGGGCAACCTCTCTAGGAGCAAAAAGAAGTCTGTACAGTTTATTAGGAAATGACAGCTCATTTTGTTCTATGACGTCAACAAACACATTCCTGATGAGTCAGTTACTGGTTTCATGTTTTATTTACTATAATATGATGTTCATATTGTAAATTATAGTCACCAAAAGAATAAAAAAGGAGGATAAAGTGGTATTATTAGTTAGAGTGGGCCCCAACTTCTGATAGACAGGTTGCTACAGAATGACCAGTGACCTTGCAGGACACATGTGAAATGCTAAACTGGACTTCACAGTGACTATGTACATCTTTCATATACAGTACATACACCACAAAAATGTCAGATGTAGCAAAAATTATACTTAATATTTTATTTCTTCTTTCAAAAATTGTCAATAAGCACTCCAGTTTAAAAAGAAATAAACTTTCTAGCAAATATTTAATAGTTCTGGCTTTACAGGTCCTTCAAGATGTGTTGCAATGAAATACAGGTGTACATTTACTCAGCTTCAAGTCTGAAAAAAGGCTTACCTTTCCTTTTATTTCAGAACACACACAAAACCTGCTCCCTAATTTTTCTTACAGTTTATTTAATGTGCCAGTTAGCGTGTCTTTAGCACACCTACAATTTACTGTTGTGATTGAAAGTGCCAACGAGAAGTTTTGGTAAGAGCGTGAACAGGTAAAACCTCATCTCAAAACAAGTAGAAGGAGTCAGCTTTAATACGATAAACAGCATTGTTAGAATGCACACAGTGTCTTCTGTTTGTCTGCACTCAGAAAGCTTCAAAAGTCAGGACCAGAGAGGGGGAGAGGTTTCCCCTGGGTGCAGAGCTCCTCTCTGCGTCATCAGCGCTCCAATATTCACATTAAAAGCTGTCCATAGGCAAGAGGGAGATTATATTTGGCTTTTAATTGTTCTCCTCTGGAAACACTTCTTAACTCGCTCCCTCACTCTCCAAGTTCCCTCTTGGTGGGTCGACTCGAGCATTTTCTGTTTTTTGTCACTGCAGTACTGACACATGAAGTGGAATATTCCTCATTAAAATACATTTAAAAGTATCTTGAAAAATTGCCGGTGCCTGCCATTCGTCCTTCCTTCCTTCATAGCCCCATTTCCTTCATCCTTCTCTTCATTCACTCCTTACTTCTAGCAAACCTCACTTCTCCGTTTCCGCCTTGCATGTCTTCGCAGTCATTTTGATCTCTATGCTGTCCCCCCAATCTCTTCTTCTTCTTTTTTTTTTTTTTAAATTTCAGGCTTGCTCTATCTCTCGTGTCTACCCTTCCTGCTTCTTTAATCACCCTCCCCCCACCCCAACCATTCCTCCATCCTCTCTCTGTCCTTTCGCATTAGGGATTCACCAATATTGATAAATCTGATCCCAAGAATCCTGCGTCACATTTTTCAAATCAAAGCAAAGCCATTTCTAGAATTTTTTTTCAGAAGTTTTAAAATATACATCATGTACCCCACTGTTTGATTTGGTCTCATAAGATCAAAAGCAAAGAAACATCACAGAAACTATTGCTTTCATTTACTTACATTGAGGCCTCTGGAATGGACATATTCAGGGATGTGTGGCTAGCTTGTCCTCTTGTATCTTCTTTCTCATAATTTGAGAAATATGTATGTCAGTCCATTTTTTGGTCTTACTCTACATCCAAAACCATCCATTCCATCCACCTCTCACTTCCCACATTGACTACTGATGAGTAAATGCAGTGTTAAATCTGATGTCATTTGTTTCTAACCTTCCCCCTACACTGACTGCTACCAGCTCACCTGGGCATGCTTGTTTGGCTGTCTTTGTGAGGACATTCATGGACATTTCCTTGATTGTTACCCGCAAGTTTAACTATTTTAACTAAAACATAATACTAACTTTAACTAATATCAAGTTTTAACCTTCAAACCACAATTTAAAAAATGTTTTAACTGTTATTTTTCTCAAGAGATGTTTCTATTCACTTTTTCCTTTGCCAGGTTTCTTGTGACAAATGACTTTAGTAACTCACTCATGTTGTTTAAGCACCTCTGGAGAAAGCTGTAACCCAAAATCTTCACAGCACTGAACAGGCAGAATCACTTTATCAGTGTGTGTTGTGTATATATCCTTACATCCTTATAGAAGAACACTGGAAAGTTGTTGCTACAAAACTAATGTTGATTTATTAAATGGGAACTGAATAAGTGTGTGAA